CAGTCTCTGCCCTCCCCCCTCACAGGCACATGCAGATCAGCCTCTGCCCTGTCACCCCCTCACAGCCTCCGGGAGACCAGCCTCTGCTGTGCCTGTGCCACCGCCACCACCCCCACAGCCACAGAGAGACCAGCCTCAACCGTGTCACCCTCCTCACATCTTCAGTGTAAGCACAACATGAGCCCCCTCAGTTCCTTTTCTACCATCCTCAGCTGATGACGGATAGAGCAGTGTTCTTCTTTCTGACAGGAAAAATAAAGGAATACCATAGTTAGTTTAGTCAGTTAACGACAGTTTTCAACATGCCGGGTTTCCACGGCTTTAAAAGATGCCACTCACTGTCGGGACTCGATGCCTATTTCTGATGGGTATGCCTCCTGCGTTAAATGCCTGGGAGAGACTCATGCAGCACATAAGTGCCCACACTGTCAGAACATGACAGCCAGAGCCAGAGAAGACCACGAAATGCAGCTCAGAAACCTCTGGGAGAAGTCCCTACAACCACCACAGGACAAACCTGAAGAGACATGGGAACAACAAAAGCCCATTGACAGGCTCACAGCAAAGGCTCACAAGCTTCCCCAGCATGTTCATTACCAGAGCTTCCCTGAGCCTCTTTTTCCCCGGTGCCATCAGTCTCTGGCACCACCGAGAAGCGCAAATCTGCACCAGCCAGGAGAGCTGAGTCAGAACCTAAGCCCTCCGCACCTATCAGTGCAGCTGAGGCAGCAGCACCTACAAAGCCGCATATGCCATCACCAGCTACCACAGGCACCTCTACAGTGCCTGAACAAGCCATCCCTGGTTGACTGTGCTCTGGCACCGCAACATACAAGACACAGCATTTACAAAAATCCCCACAAACAGGCACACCACTCAGATCAGGAACCTGCTCACCCCACTCCTCATTGGTGTCTGATGCCCAGGGGCACACTCATATGCCAGAAAAGGCTCCCCACTCTCCTACACTGCTCTCACCACGAGACATAGGAGTAGATTTTCATTGTGCCGGTCTTCCCCATTGGGATCAGTGACTTCCTGGCATTCATCTCAGGATCATTCCCTACAACATAATCTCCCATGGCCTAGCCAGCCAATCTCCACAGCAATGTGAGCCTCAGTGACCACCTTGAGAACCATGGCAAGGGTACCAGCCACGTTCCTCCCGTTCTTACCACCCAAGAGATACAACTTCTGCATTACCACAGCACACGACTATGTGCTTCTTGACCATATCCACACATTCTTCACCCTCTCACCTGCTCTCATACCCAAGCTGGCTCTAATGACAAGGATAACTTACCTCACTCAGAGAGCTTCTCACACGATCCCAGATCCATTAGACCACATGAGGCAGTTTTCTAGGTATTGTCCTCTCCACCGGCGGATGATCTAAAACAATTTCAAGAATTATTTAAATGGGTAGTTCAATCACAGGATATTACACTCCAAGAGGTACAAGACAAGCAATACAAATTACTGACAATACTACAACCCACGGCATCCTCAAAGATAGCTTCATTAATGAGTACGGCTATCTTGGAGCCGTCAGAGGTGCTTTGTCAAACTCCAGCCTCTATCCCCCCCAACAAATCACAGGGCGGACAGAAAATATTTTGTCCCAGCAAAAGACACGGACTTCCTCTTTGCACATCCCCAACCAAACTCACTAGTTGTAGACTCAGTTATTCACAAGTCTAAAAACCGATGAGTAAAGTCTATACCCTGAGACAAAGAGCATAAGTGGCTGGATGCCTTTGGCCACAAGGTATACTCTTCCAGCACCCTCCAATTCAGGATATTGAATTATACAGCCCTCCTGGCTAACTGATCATGCAAACTATGCTAAACTACAGGACCTGCTATAGGACCTTCCTGAGACTAAGAGAATGCATGTCCAGTCCATTATTAAGGAGGGTTTATCTTGACCAAAAACTGCCCTTCAGGCTGCAATGGATGTCGCTGACATGGTGGCCAGGGCCACAGCTACAGCAATTGTAATGCGTAGGACCTCATGGCTGCAGTCCTCAGGGGTCCCAAAAGATTTGCAAACTAAGGTGGAGGACCTCCCCTTTGATAGAAACCAGCTGTTTGCCACAAAGACAGATGAAGTCCTACACTCAATGAAGGACTCTCATACTACACTCCACACTCTGGGAATGTATACTCCACCTAACAAGAGACACAAATATGCCCCCTGCCAAAGGCCAAGGGACTATAATTATAACTATTACAGATAACAGCAGAGGCCATATGACAACAGACATCTGCAGCGCTCCAACAGAAGGAGGATGCAGCAGTTGACTCCAACACTCAGTCAACTTTACAAAAGCAACGAATTTGAAGTCTTGGTCAAGGGTCTGAGCAACAATGGATCCAAATCACTACAGACAAATAGGTCCTGGAAATTATCAAATCAGGTTATACAATCCCTTTCACATCCATATCTCCTACTCTGTCCCCCTTCAGGGACCCATCTCGCGAGCCCCTGTTACAAACAGAGGTACAAAAGTTACTTACCCTAGGAGCAATAGATAGAGACCAATCTTGGATCTCAGGAAACTCAACAAGTTCATCCTCAGTACAAAATGCAGAATGGTGGCCCTTGCAACTATCATACCTGCACTGGACAAAGGGGACCGGTTCTCAGCCCTCAACCTTTATGATGCATATTTTCATGTAACCATGCACTCTGCCCACAGGTGATTTCTCAGATTCGTCGTAGGTCAAGACCATTACCAATACTTTTGATCTTTCTGTGGCCCCTCGAGTGTTCTTGAAGATGCTAGCCGTAGACACAGCCTTTCTCAGAAGACAGAACGTCATCATCTTCCCCTGCCTTGATGATTGTTTAATTAAGGCATCCACATGTCAACAAAGTATAGTGATGTTAACCACTACCAAGAAACATTTTTCCCACTTGGCCTGCTTATCAATATACACAAGTCCACCATACAGCCCACACAAAAGATAGAATTTATTGGACGACTTCTAGATTCAGTGACAGCAAGAGCCTACCTGCCACCACAAAGATTCAAGGCGCTCTGTGACCTTATTTGGGGATCAAGCATGCTCTCTTTTCCACAGTACAGACGTGCCTCCAATTAGTGGGGCACATGGTGGTTACAACCTTCGTGGTACTGTTTGTGAGGCTACACATGCGCTGCCTACAGCATTGGCTCGCAACCACCTATATTCCAACCTGACACAGCCTTGCAAGATGTCTTACACTTCCTCTGCCAGTACTACAATCTCTTGACTGGTGGATGTCTCCAACTAACCTACTTGCCAGTATACTCTTCCACCACCCAGATCAGTCAATAACTATAACGACGGATGCATCACTTATGGGCTGGGGTGGCCATTGTGGCACAAGGGCAATACAGGGCACATGGTTCCAACAGGAGAGACACTTTCATATCAACATCCTGGAGCTCAGGGCCATTCACAAGGCATGCGCCCACTTTCTTCCCCTGATAAAGGGCAGAACCATTCGTGTCCTCACAGACAACACACCTTCTGTTTTACCTTAATCGACAGGAGAGTACTCGATCATGCTCACTATATGCAGAAGCAATCAGATTTTGGAACTGATGTATCAGGAACCACATAACTCCAACCGCCACATATATACCACTACAGCAGACTGTGAGGGCCAACAGACTGAGCAGATACTTCTAAGAAGAAGAACACAAGTGGGAGGTCAACACCAATGTTCTCTCTGTCTTTTGCAAGTGAGGTTTCCCAGCTATAGACCTTTTTGCAACAGCACTCAATCGCAAATGCCACTAGTTCTGTTCCCTAGCAGGACTAGGCAAGAGATTGGAGGGGGATGCCTTCACCATCCTCTGGATGGCTCCCCTACCCTACGCCTCTCCACCAATCCTTCTACTCGCCAGAGTAATCAACAAGATTCATTCCAACCAGGCCACAGTAATTCTGATAGCCCCTGCCTGGCCGAGACAACCCTGGTTCCCTTACCTGCACTATCTTTCAATAGATCAACCCATTCCTCTCCCCATGGTGCCAAATCTCTTAATGCAGCGCCACAGCAGGACATGCCATCTGAACATCAAAACTCTGAAACTCACAGCATAGCTTCTCCATAGTTCCAGAATGAAGAACTTACCTGTTCGGACAGGGTGAAACACATCCTACTGAACAGTTGACAACCCTCCATGAGAAGCACCTACCAGAACAAATGGACACGTTTTCAACAATGGTGCATGACTCGCCGCTTACACCCCAATACCGCCCCTATACCCACTGTGCTGGATTATCTCATGGACCTCAGCAATACAGGTCTCTCTATCAGCTCAATCTGTGTCCACTTGGTGGCGGTCACGGCGTTCCACAAACCTGTGGATGACTTCTCTCTCTTCGCACATCCAATGGTGAAGCAATTCCTTATAGGCTTGCAGAAAATGTGCCCAAACCTGGACCCCCTGTGCCACCATGGGACTTTAATTTGGTTCTCAACATGCTCACCAGGCAACCCTTTGACCCACTAGCTACTACATGACCACAATACCTGTCTATGAAGGTGGCCTTCATAGTGGCAATTACATCAGCTAGATGTGTAGGTGAAATTGCAGCCCTCATGGTCAACCCACCTTTCACTATCTTTACAAAAGATAAAGTTATACTCAGGCCTCACCTGAAGTTCCTCCCAAAGGTCTTCTGCGACTTCTACCTAAAGAACCCATTTACTTACCTGCATATTTTCCTAGACCTCATACCTCCTCCAAGGAGGCCATCTTGCACACATTAGATGCAAGACAATCGATTGCATTCTACCTAGATAGAACTAGAGGAACCAGAAAATTGGATAGACTCTTTGTCGCTTGGTCTGGGCCACATACAGGAACAGCTGTCTCGGCACAACGTCTATGGATTGCCAGCTGCATATACACTGCTTATGAACTTCGTGGGCAACAGCCACCACAGATTATCAAGGCTCATTCCATGCATGCGATGGCCATAACGGCCTTCCTAAATAACGTACCATTCGTGGAAATTTGTAGAGCAGATACATGGTCCTCCCATAACACTTTCACACAACATTACGCCCTACAGAAAAGGTCAATACCCTCCACATTTCTGACAGATGCAGTGCTTCCTTCCTCTACATATGCCTTCCACTCCAATGCCCACCAACACCTGGTGGGTACTGCTACTGAGTCACCTGAATGGAGTACCCGCAGGGATACCACTCGACGAAGAAGAAGTTACTCACCCTGTGCAGTAACAATGGTTCTTTGAGACTTGTGTCCCTGTGCTAGGAGTCTTTAAGGGACTTCAAGTAGAAAAGGAACAGAAGGGGGCTCACCAAAAGCAGCAGGAGCGGGAGACGCTGGATGCGCAGGTGTGGTGCTCACCAAAAACCTCCAAACAACGGCGCAAGGACGCACTGAGACCTGAGTGGAGCAGCCACAGGGACACACATCTCGAAGAACCGTCATTACTGCACAGGATGAGTAACTTCTTATTGTATGGCCTTCCTAAACCACAGAATTGAGAGCCTCATGATCTTTAATATTCTTATTTTCACAACCTCCCTGTGAAGTATGGGAGTACTATCATCCCCATTTTACATATGAGGGACTAAGACACGGAGAAATTAAATGACATCACACAAGAAGTCTGTGACAACAGAAAATGTACCCCTGTTTCATGGATACCAGTCTATTCTTATTTTGGGAAGGGGAGGAGGGGATAGTTGTTCCTGTCTGCACCAGCTAATGGAGGAGCTTACAGTAAGGTAAGGACAGGCCTTAAATATCCACAGTTGCACCTCACAAAGTTTATTTGTGGTGCAAACTTATACTTTTTGGTCAGTACCTTTGTGAGAGGATTGGTATAAAATGCTAGACAAATGGAGATGTTTTGCATGATTACTGAGAAACTGTAAGATGCAATGTAATCTATGTAGCCGTAACACTGTATGTTAATTAGGCACCAAGTGTTATTACTTATTTGTATCACTGCAGTACCTACAAGCCCAAGTCATGGAGCAGGATCCTTTTTTGCACTGTACAAATAGGCACTGTACAAATACAGAACAAAAACATGGTCTTTACCTCATAAAGCCTGCAATCTAAATATAGAACAAGAGACAACAGATAGATACAGACAGATGGGGAGTACAACGAGACAATATTGGTCAGCATAATAAGCAGTGGTTTCAGCATAAGAGCAACCTATCTATGGTTATGTTTTTTTTTCCAGGAATCATGGCAAAGGGTTTTAAGGAGGGGTCTGAAAGAAAAAAAAATGTGGTTTGTGAAAGTTTAGAGGGAACTTCTCCCAAATATGAGGGGCAATGTCAGCGAAAACACAAAGACACTTGTTTGGAAATTTAACAAGTGGGTGATGCAGGCTGGCATCAGAGA